AGGGAGTCTCCTTCTCCCTCTCCCTCTGCCCCTCCACCTGCTTCCATGTGTGCTCTCTCTCTCTCTCTTTCTTAAATAAATAAATAAAAACTTTTTAAATAAATAGATGCCTTGGAGAAATTTCATGTACCAACCACCCAGGGCAATGTTCTTTCTGTTGTCTGCACAGCGGAGTTACCCAAATCCAACATCGCAAGCAACAACTCTGACCCCGTGGAGAATGTGGATTCTGTTGTACTAATGTGTGGACCTCAGACACAGAACACAAGCTACCTGTGGTCAGTAAACATGAAGAGCCTCCGGGCCAGCACCAGGCTGGAGCTTTCCCTGGACAACAGGACTCTCACTATACATGGTGTCACAAGAAATGACACAGGAACCTATAAGTGTGAAATTCGGAACCCAGGGAGTACTGGTCGTAGTGACCCATTCACCCTGAATGTTCTCTGTGAGTAACTTCCCTTCCTACCTGGCCCAGGTTGCCAGCCCAAATCCATGCTGCCGGGGGCCAGGCCACAACTATCCTTCTGGGGTCTGAGTCCATGACTCTCAGCTGGACCCCCAGGCTGGCCATGGCTTCTGGTCCCAGACAATCCTGGGCAGGCCCAGCCTAAGCCAAGACTGGGAGGGGACGGGCTGTTCCTCCCTGAGAGGGTCACCAGCCTCTGAGGGGAAACAGGTGAATGTCTTTGACCCAGGCTCAGTGAATACAGGGGGCTTATGGTTGGGACTTTCTCAAACAAGGTTGGGACCCAGCTCAGAGGGACACTGTGGCCCTAATACAGACCAGGAGCTTCCTCTTCCCTCAGATTACATCACCTGTGCCTTTATTCTGTTTGCTCCAGATGGCCCGGACACCCCCACCATTTCCCCCTCAGACTCCTTTTACCATCCAGGGGCCAACCTCAGTCTCTCCTGCCACACAGCCTCTAACCCGCCCGCACAGTATTCTTGGTTTATCAATGGGAGGCCCCAGCCATTCACACAGAAGCTCTTTATCCCCAACATCACTGCCAATGATAGTGGATCGTATACCTGCCTCGCCTATAACTCTGGCACTCGCCTCAGTAAGACCACAGTCAAGACTATCACAGTCTCTGGTAAGTGGATCCCTGGAGCATCTGCACCGACGACTGTGGTGAAGGTCTGTCTGGCTTTCAGAAAAGAGCCTAGAAGAAGTTATTTCCCACTAGCAAATCCCAGATCTGTCCCTGAACTCTCCCCCTACATGTCTGCAATCGCTTCCTCCCCTTGCTTTCTGATTGTATGGTAGACCTTGGGTCCAGCCTGGAATGTGGGGAGTGAGCTTCTCAGCTCCAGAAAGCCCCATGCATAAAATGGGACTTTGCAAATAGGGAAGAAGGATCCTAAGGGTCAAGTTGCTTTTTGTTGTTGTTGAATTGCAGAAGTCCTTTATATAATCCAGATACTAACCTCTAACCAGATATGGTTTGCAAATGTTTCCTTTCAATCCATGGGTTGCCCTCACATTTTCTTTGTTAGTGAACTTTAATTGACACACAATGTGATGTAGTTTCAGGTGTACAACATAGTGATTGGACAACTCTCTATGTTATGCTCTATTCAACACAATGTAGCTCCCATCTGACCCCATGCAGCCCCATTAAAATACCATTGACTATATTTCCTATGTTGTACATTTCATCCCTATATCTTGTTAATTCCATAACTGGTACTACCACTCTCCAGATTCTGTCTTTTGATGCACAGTTTTCCATTTTGATGTAATACAATTAATCTATTTTTTCTTTTATTGTCTTTGTTTTGGGTGTCATATCTAAGAAATCATTGGGAAATCCAGTTTCAATAAGTTTTTGCATTATGTTTGTTTCTAGACTTTTACTATTTGACTCTAATGTTTAGATGTTTGACCTATTTAAGTTAATTTTTGTACATGATGTGAGATCGGGTCCAACTTCATTTATTTGCATGGCTATCCATTGTTCCCAACACCATTGGTTGAATAGATATTTTTCTCCATTTAATGGTCATGACAACCTTCTTGAAAATCACTGGACCACATATGACAAGGTTTGTTTCTGGGGTTCCTATTCTATTCCATTGGTCTCTATGTCTGTCTTTATACCAGACCCCATTATTATCAGTTACTGTAGCTCTGCAGTCAGGAAGTAGGAGTCCTCCAACTTTGTTCTTTTTCAAAATAAGTTTGCCTATTTGAGGCTTCTGAATCTCTGTGTGAATTTTTGGAAGTTCTTCTTTCTGCGAAACATTTCATTAAGTATTTGATAGAGGGGTACCTGGCTGGCTTAGCTGGTGGAGCATGAGACTCCTGATCTTGGGGTTGTAGGTTTGTGCCCCACATTGGGTGTAGAGATTACTTAAAAATGAAATCTTAAAAAAAGGAACTTGGTAGGAATTACACTGAATTTGTGCATCTCTTCGGATAACACTGTCATCTTAACAAGACTAAGTTTCATCACCATGAACATGGGATGTCTTTCCATTTATTTGTGTCCTCTGTAATTTATTACAGCAATGTTTTTTTTTTATTATTCTTATGTTAATCCCCATACATTACATCATTAGTTCTAGAGGAAGTGTTCCATGATTCATTGTTTGTGCATAACACCCAGTGCTCCATGCAGAAC